GCGCGCGCTACCACGCCTGGCTAATTTTTGATTTATTGTAGAGATGAGGTCTCACCAAGTTGCCCAGGCAGGTCTCGAACCCGCAGGCTCAGGCAATCCACTCACCTCAGCCTCCCAAGGCGCGGGATTACAGGCTGAGCCACGGAACCTGGCTTGTCCTAACTTCTATCACCATAGATTAGTTTAACCTGCCTTGATCATCGGATAAATGGAATCATATTATATGTATAATCTTTTATATCTTTTTTCCTTCAATCAACATAATGTCTGCCAGATTCATCCATGCTGCAGTTTGTTCCTTTCTTTTTCATGAGTAGTATTGTTATTCATTAAGCTTTTAAAATCCAGCTGGTTATTATTGCTGGTTTGTCCCTCAAAATTCTTTCCATTCAATATATCCTCCTCATGTTCCTTTTCATGCATGTATCTCCTGTACATTTCCCTAGCAAAGCTTGCTGTGAGGATAATATGCAAGTGAACTATCTCTAGTACTATCCTTTTAAGTAGGGGTGATTCTCTCTACCGTCCACAAAAACAGATAACCAGGCTGTCCAGCATGGTGGTCATACGTACAAGCTTCAGAGTAGACAGATCTGGGTTTTCATTTCTGGTCTACCACTTAACAGATGGGTGGTTTGGGGCAGGTGATTTAACCTCTCTGTGACTGTTTTCCCATTTGTAAAATGAGGATAATAATACCTTCCTAATAGGGACTTGCGAGGACTAAATTATATTGTACATAAAATGTTTGGCACAATGGAAACTAATAATAGCCTCAAGCTAGACTATAATAAACGCCTTCTGCTTCGTTCACATACTTTCAGTTTTTGTAAATTGTATAATATAAATGGGTACATATTTTCAAAAGTTTGCAGACATTTTCATGTTTCTATCTAGAAAAATCTGTCATATATTTACTTAAAATAAATGTTATTTCCTAAGAAAAAATGCTTTCTATCATTTATTCACTGACAATTATATACTGAGCACTGATGATTAGACGCTCTTCTAAAGCACTGAAGACATGGCCCTACATTTTAGGATGTTTGGTCTGGGGAGGGTAAAAAACAAGAAATACATATAAAATACAGAGTATGACAAATGGTAATAATAATAATAAACATCTATTAATGTAGTGGTTAAGAGCATGATCTCTGGGTCCAGCGTGGTGGCTCAAGCCTATAATCCCAGCACTTTGGAAGGCCAAGGCGAGAGGATTGCATGAGTCCAGGGGTTCGAGACCAGCCTGGGCAACTTGGTAAGACCTTGTCTCTACAATATATCAAAAAATTAGATGGGCATGGTGGCGTGCTCCTGTAGTTTCAGTTACTTGGAAGACTGAGGCAGAAGGATCACCTGAGGCCAGCAGGTTGAGGCTGCAGTGGCCGTGAGCATGCCACTGCACTCCAGCCTGGGCAACAGAGTAAGACCCTGACTCAAAAAAACCCCCAAAACAACAACAACAAAAAAACCACGGTCTCTGGATTTACACTACATGGGTTCAAATCCCAGCTGTATGATATTGGACAAGTTACTTAATCACTTTGTGTTCTACCTCACCTGTAAAATGGGGATAATTCCACTTACCTAGTAAGGGCTACAGTATTACCTAGCAAGGGCTACAGTATCTATGAGCATACAAACAAATTTGATAAGTAATGGCTAATAATTATTGAATACTCAATACGTGCCAAGCACTGTGTTAAATGCTGATGTGCATTACTTCACATAATCTCCACAGTGCTGTTCCTACTATTATACCCATTTTACAGATAAGACAACTGAAGGCAGAGGTTTGAGTTATTTGCTCAAGATTACACTAGTAAATTGTGCCATAGAAAGGACACTCATCTATAACATGGGGAAAATAGTAATAGCATTTAATGAGAATCAGGCAAATTAATATTTGAAAAGTGCTTAGAACACAGCCTAGCACATAAGGCCTATATATGGGAATGTTAAATAAATACAAATTGCTATGGTGATTCAGTAAGTAACTTCCATGCATAGCGACTAAGTAAGACTTTAGAAAGGTGATATTTAAGCTGGGCCCAAAATAATAGACAGGACCTGGAGAGATGGAGGTGACAGAGAGGGCACTTCAGACAGGGAGGGAGGGAAGAAGGAAGGGAGGGAGGAGGGAGGAGGGAGGGAGGAAGGGGCAAGAAGTGAGAGAAAGCCCAGAGTAAGTAAAAGTAAAAATTAAAAACACACACAAAATACATGGGACATGGAGTAGTTAAGTTTGACTAGGGCAAAAAAACTCCCCTTTTCTCCAACCAGTCACTATTCCTGCCAGTTGAACTTCTTCAGTATATCTTATTATTTTCCTCTTATCCCCATAGAATCTGCAGTCCTTATCTCCTCGTCATAATCATCCACTGAATAATATTTATCGAGTGCTTCTATGTACCAGGCACTGCTCTAGGCACTGGGATACACCTCAGTGAACAGGCCAGGTCTCAGTTACTATCTTGCACTATAATAATCCTCCAAACTGGATTCTCAGCTTATGGCTGGCCCAACTCCAATCCAACCCTCACACAGCCACCTGAATGTGAAGACGCCGGCTGGACACTCCCTTGCTTAAATCTCCCTGTGGTATTTCCCCATTTTGTCCAGAATAAATTTCAATCTCCCTAGCATCCTGTGCGAGGCCCTTCCCTCATCGGTCGGCAGTCTTATCTGCCAGCCTTCATCCCTTGCCTTCTGCATTCGAGTCCACAGTAAAGCATGCTAAATCCGGGATACACACACTTAGAAATAAGCACTTGCTTAAAGAACGTGGAGAGAACTCCATCCCTATCTCATCCCTTGCACACGGAAACAATTCCCTCTGCATGCCTTGAATGGGAAAGCCTTGCATGCAGTCCTCTGACCCCAACTCTTAGAGCCTAAAAGCCAGCACAGGTGGCACACATCCGCTCCGCCACCTCTACCTAG